TACTTCTAGTTCTAGTTCTTTCGTCTACGCAAGCGTCTATTCGCTTCGACGCGAACAACGGGATTCACGGGTTTAGCCCTGGGCTACATTTCGCAAGATCCTAGCTTGCAAGTTAAGAAGAGGCGCGGTCAATGTGCGCGCGTGCCTTCTGTAGATAGAAACGACTAAAACAAAGAAAAACACCGAGAAACAAATCCAAACCAATGAATTCATTTTCTTTTTGTCATAGTTTGGCATGAGTTTTTCGAAACAAAGGCAAACGAAATTCCAAACCCAGATCGGAGATTTGTCCCTCTCTCTCGATCTGAAAGTAGCAGATCCGAATATTTCTACCGCTGGAGACCAAATCTGATGGCACCCGCGCTGGGGCGCCCGGGCCAATGAGCGGCCGACGCGTGCCCCGGCCTGTGTCTTAAGATCGGGTAAACAATTAAACTACTACGCGGGGGAGGGGGTGGGACCCACGCCACGCCGCGCCTCTTCATCAAGAGGGATGAAAATATGAGTCGTGGCTGGAAATCGTTCGTGTCCCCCTTCATCACCACCTCTTCGGGGCTCCAGGCAGCGTCTCCAGCCCAGATCGACCGTGACTCGACCTCGCCCCCCTTCTCCCCCCACCGCCGCGCGATCCCATCTGACGCCGCCCCGGCCGACGACCCCAGCACGCCGGCCGCCATGGCGCACGGCGACCGCATGACCACCTTCGAGGAGGGCGAGCGCGAGAGCGAGTACGGCTACGTCCGCAAGGTCCGCATCCTCTTTTCCCCTTCTTCCCCCTACTTCATCCCTCCGCTCCCCCGGCTGGATCGCGGGATCTCCTCCGATCCGCGGACGCGCTCGCGCCGGTTTTGGAATCGGGGCGTTTCTCCTGCCGCTGGATCTCCCGAGCGCGCGCCGCGCCCCGCTCGCCTCGACAGCGGCGGAGGATTCGGACCCCGCTCTTCGGCCGTGTGATGATTGTCTGGGAGATTCGTCGAATTGGGCGGCCTGGTTTGGGAATCCGGCGGTGTTTGGGTCGTGGGATGCGTCGCTGGGTCAATGGGTCGCCATTGGATCCTTAGCTGGCCTGGCTGGCACGGAACCAGTGTGGTCGGGTCGGTCTAGATCGCGAGATTGTGCTCCCATGTGCTTCTAACCGAGTGCTCTTCCTCGGGCTTTAGTCAGATACGACGATGTGTCGATTGTATAGTGTGATCTGGAATCTGGAGTTTCGTGAAGTGGTTGTCTTCTTACTGGTTCCCGATGAATCGTGATTGCATTGTCTCACCATTGTGCTCTGCTGTTCCAGGTCTCTGGGCCCGTGGTCGTGGCCGATGGCATGGGCGGTGCCGCCATGTACGAGCTCGTCCGTGTCGGCCACGACAGCCTCATCGGCGAAATCATCCGTCTCGAGGGTGATTCAGCTACAATTCAAGGTACGGCGGAACGTGCTTTTGCCCCGCATTTGCACATTAAGTTTTCTCCACTGTGACGTGCATAACTAAGAAGATTCTCACATGTTTAATCTGTCTCTACTGTATGCAGTTTACGAGGAAACAGCTGGGCTAACGGTCAACGATCCCGTGTTGAGAACAAAAAAGGTGAAACGCTAACTGATTTTGATGGGCACTTCACAAGCCAACTTTTGTTTTGCTCTGTTTTAACATGCTATGGCTGGGTTTATGCAGCCTCTTTCATGTGAGTTGGGACCTGGTATTCTTGGAAACATCTTTGATGGAATCCAGGTAAGATAAATGAAGCAAGCACACATTCATTATGCTTACCGTGAGCTTCCGTTCTGATGGTATGACTAAATAATCATCTCATTGCAGCGCCCTCTGAAAACTATTGCTATTAAGTCCGGAGATGTCTACATTCCACGTGGTGTTTCAGTCCCTGCTCTTGATAAAGATCAGCAGTGGGAGTTCCAGCCAAATAAGCTAGGTAATTTACGTGATATCATGCTACAAAAGATAAGGACAATGTTAGCATGCCTCTACTATGTTTTGTCCAGTACATGAAGATCAATAATTTGGCTTTTGTTTCAGGTGTTGGAGATAATATCACAAATGGAGATCTATATGCTGTGAGTTTGCAGGACCTCTAATTTCCCCTTTTTTATAACTTATTACTATCTAGCATTCCTGCCTCTTGTTGTACAATCCGTGGATGCATCTTGTTAACTTCTATATGCATCCATTGCTGCCTCGCAGACCGTATTTGAGAACACATTGATGAAGCACCATATTGCGCTCCCTCCTGGTGCTATGGGAAAGATAAGTTACATTGCCCCTGCGGGTCAGTACAGTCTGCAGGTTAGTAAATGTTACTTAAAGACCTGCTACTTCATTTCTTCTGCTTAACTTCATTTGACGACCTGTTGCTCTTTTTGCAGGACACAGTGCTGGAATTGGAGTTTCAGGGCATCAAAAAGGAGTTCACTATGCTCCACGTAAAGCATTTTCCCTTCATAAAATTTGGATATGTCATGATTTCACATCTCTTAACAACTATCATATTTCTGCTCTGCAGACATGGCCTGTGCGGACACCACGGCCTGTTGCGTCAAAACTTGCTGCTGACACGCCTCTTCTAACAGGACAGGTATACGAGCTAGCTACTCAAAACAATGTCCTCCAGATAAAAAGTTATTTGTATTAGCGTCAATATTTATTTGTCAAATGCACCAAACATCGGAAGTGATGTTTCCTGTACTACTCCATCAAATCTTCATTCATCTCACATCTGTTGTGAATTGATTTCAGCGTGTACTTGACGCACTGTTTCCCTCGGTGCTTGGAGGAACATGTGCTATTCCTGGAGCTTTCGGTTGTGGAAAAACTGTCATTAGTCAGGCGCTCTCAAAGGTCTCGTGGCTATTCACCTCTTGTTGCATAACTGATATTTTAGTTCAGCTCAGGATGTTGGCCTTTACATGTCTCAATGTTTTAATTTCTTCTGACTCAAATTACCTTGTACAGTATTCCAATTCCGACACTGTGGTGTATGTGGGCTGTGGAGAAAGAGGAAATGAGATGGCTGAGGTCCTTATGGACTTCCCGCAATTGACAATGACGTTGCCTGATGGACGTGAAGAGTCAGTCATGAAAAGAACAACGCTTGTGGCTAACACCTCCAACATGCCTGTCGCTGCTCGTGAAGCCTCCATTTATACAGGTAACATACAATTGTTGATGTTTTTCTATTTGCATCCTAGTATTCTACTGTTACAGCCTTGCAGGCATGCCTTTCTATCTTACATAGATTCTTTTTTCAACAACATCATGTTGCTTTTGCTATACTAAAATGAGTGCTTCTATAAATTTTATTATAACATGGAATTATTGCAAGCTTGTGGTTTCCCCGTTTGTATCTACCTGTATGTACGGTTGTAGATACTGGCTAGTTTTAGTATTTCTGGGGCTTCATGGCACAAATTTGAAAACACACCATATAAAAAGTGTAAAAGCAGCATCCATAGGTAGAGATAGGCAGGCACATCTCTAAGGCGTTATCATTAGTTTTAGTAGAACATTTTGGATATATGCATCTTATTTTAGCATTGATTGCTGTGATTTATTGACTACTGCGTTTTAGAAAATATAGTTTGGTTTATTATGGGAACTTGGTAGCCTACATCTACATCTTGTAGTGAATCGGCCTGAGTGATCCATCATGTACAGTTTCCTGATAATTTGCTAAAGAGCCATCGTTTTCATGCTTTTCAGCTGATTTTTCTCTATGAACAAGACAATCATGTGTTTTTTCCCCTCTATTCCAGGAATTACTATTGCTGAATACTTCCGTGACATGGGCTACAATGTTAGTATGATGGCTGATTCCACGTCCAGGTGGGCCGAAGCATTGCGTGAAATTTCAGGACGTTTGGTATGATGCTTCCTTCTGTGGCTTCCAATTTCTATCTATTGCCATTTTTGTGACTTATGTTCACTGCTGTATATATGCTCTGGTGCAAAACCTGAATTTGTTCTTATTGATTTCTAAAGTTCTAGCTACTATTCATGTTTAAGGTTTAATTTTTTCTCCTTTGTCTTGATCCAGGATTATGATTAGAACTCTTTATTATTTCCCCCTTAACTAAGCTTGTTGACATTAAATAATCTGATGGTAGCGGACAGTATTTGTCAGTTTAAAGAACATTATTGCAAATGGTAGAAGAATTTTTTTGCTGCAGAAGTAAAATCACATCATACATGAAATACTTATTGCTAAGACATTTAACTACTACTAACGTATTATTGAGTTAAAAGTACTCTTGCACACATGCGTTGATTACAGTTTACTGGCATATTAATGTGATTTTTAAACTAATGGTTTGCTCAATATGCTATAGGCTGAAATGCCTGCGGATAGTGGTTACCCTGCGTATTTGGCTTCACGGTTGGCATCCTTCTACGAACGTGCTGGGAAGGTTCAATGTCTTGGCAGTCCAGACCGGACTGGCAGTGTTACAATTGTTGGCGCCGTCTCTCCTCCTGGAGGAGATTTTTCAGATCCTGTTACCTCTGCAACCCTCAGTATTGTGCAGGTAAGGAAACTGTTCGGTTACAAACCTTTAGGTAGTTGTACCTTCCATTGCTTTGTTACCATCAGGTGTTAATTAACTGCTCTGAATTGCAGGTCTTCTGGGGACTGGATAAGAAGCTGGCTCAAAGAAAGCATTTCCCATCTGTTAATTGGCTCATTTCTTACTCAAAATACTCCACGGTTATTCCCTAACTTGCCCAGAATTTCAATGTAACTAATGTTAGTGCTCTCTGTTGTACTGACGTACCATCGTCTGCACTGTAGGCTTTGGAAGGATACTATGAAAAGTTCGATCCTGGCTTTATTGACATGAGAACAAAAGCTCGTGAAGTGTTGCAGAGAGAGGATGATCTAAACGAAATTGTCCAGGTATTCATGTTTACCTTGTCTCATTTTGTTGCTGAGGATTCATTCCCAAATATGCTGACATACTTTGTTATTGTGAATTTATCATATGAGTAACAGTTGAAACTTATTGGTGCTTTTGTTTCCTGATTTATTTTAAAAAATATTACACTTAATAATACTTTTAGTAGGCAATGAATTGCTCTCCATTCTGTACTTTAATGTTATTTTATATTCTGAAGAGTTCCATATATGGAGAGAATAGATTGGTGCTTTTGTGGTTTGCGGAATGCAGTTGCTGACACATGCACATCATCACGGGACTAATATTTTCCAATTTGTCAGCTTGTTGGTAAAGATGCACTGGGAGAATCTGACAAGATTACGTTGGAGACAGCCAAGCTTCTGAGGGAAGATTATTTGGCACAGAATGCTTTTACCCCGTGAGTGATACTCTATGATTTTTATGGATATCTTCTACTCCCTCCGTTCCCAAATAATTGTCTTTCTAGCCATCTCAAATGGACTACAACATACGGATGTATGTAGACATTTCTTAGAGTGTAGATTCACTCATTTGCCTCCGTATGTAGTCACTTGTTGAAATCTCTAGAAAGACAATTATTTAGGAATGGAGGGAGTAACTGCGTAACCATTTGAGCTCTGATCATGAGTATTTGTTGAAACAGATATGACAAGTATTGTCCATTCTACAAATCTGTCTGGATGATGCGCAACATTATTCATTTCAATACATTAGCGAATCAGGTAATCACACTTTCTGTGACCTTTTTAGTGCCTAAAGGCTATTGCTTAGATTGTGCAAACAGCGTAGATGTTTGAAATTGAAAGTATGTATCTTTGAACAACATGTTTCTTTTGTTCCATTGGTAGGGTTGCCATTTGGTTAAAGTTTGATTTTGCTAAATCCTGATGGGATTATTGCAGAAATGCTTTATTCTGTCCTTAACTCTTATGGAAATATCTATTTCAGTACTTGAGTCATATCAAGTATACATGCCTAAAAAGGAAACTGCCAGTTGTATTTAACCCCAATTGTGTAGCAGCAGACGCCAGTTGCACAAAGCCCAGGTCAAAGGGGATTTCAGTTTAACTGCCGTTTAAATAACGACAAAGCATTCAGTCATTCACCTAACCCTAGTCTGTTTGACTTTTCTTCCCCGCCTCACCGATTTGAGCTTTGGTGTGCCCTCATCATGCTAACACTGTCAGCGCTGTGAAAGCAATGACAACTTGATTAGCAGACCTGGGCTTAAGTGAACTGTTTATGCTAAGGCCATGGTTAGGCAACAACCTCACAAGCATGAGGTTTAAGCGCAAATTACTCAAGTATAATTTTAGCATTGGCTAGCCTAGCAATGAGCTGGAACTTAAAACTAAATTCATTCAATAAAGGTACATAGTGCACAAAAGAGAAATAAGGTAGCCAGCCAATTTTTTTTGGATGTTTAGGGAAAAAGAATGTGCATCTTATATTGTACAGCTGATATATAGACCCATCTAGTATGTAAACTATTTCATTTACTGGAACCAATTTTCTTGTATTGGTAGAAGTGGTGGAGGTAGTTCCATCATCATAAAGGAAATATGCAAACGTGAGAGTTTGCTTCTCAACCTTAATATATGTATGCTTGTTTTGCAGGCTGTGGAGCGAGCAGCCAATGCTGATGGACATAAGATAACCTACGCTGTCGTAAAGAGTCGCATGGGCGATCTATTTTACCGCCTTGTGTAAGTATTCCAGACTATATTGATACTTATCGGTGTCTCTATCTATCTAATAATATTTAGTGAGAACAAAAGATATTGATACTTTGTCTTTGTACTCAACAGATCCCAAAAGTTCGAAGACCCCGCGGAAGGCGAAGACGTCCTAATTGCGAAATTCCAGAAGTTGTACGACGACCTCACCACCGGGTTCCGCAACCTAGAAGACGAGGCTAGGTAAAAAGGAGAGAAGAAACATTGTGTATGGCCACCGTGTAAACAATAAGGAGCACCAAATGCTGTGAACGACTTGCGAGCAATTTGCTTTTGCTTCACCGGAGTTTGTGTAGATGCGAATTACGTTTCAGGACCCCCTCCCCTCCTTTTTTTTGCGACAGACAGACAGACAGCCTTGTTTTTCCCCCCAGGATTTTTACATTGTTTGGTCTCCAGCGCCAGGATGCACGCCATTATTTTTTCACCATGTGTACCATTATTTGTTGTATAAGAAGATTGAGCACCGGTGGACATGTTCATAGGAGGAATAAGCACGATGTCCATCTACTTGAACATCAATAATGTCTATATTTATATCTATTATTACTGTATTTGCCATTATTCCCCCGCTCTGATTTGCGGCAGTACTATTTTATGCTTTGTCGACTAGTAACGTTATCTTCAAAAAGGATTATGTTTGACATGTGCTGTCGTAAAAAAATACTACAACCTCTATACCATTAGCCAGGAAAACGTTTTATATTTTTATACGGAGGGGGTAGAAGTTGGAAAGGTAGGAACAAAAAGTCAGCATTTATCGCAGAGGTATAGTAGTATATCAGTAATGTGTATTTATATTGTTGTGTCAAAAAATTACAGTCCGTGGTTGAAACGGCACGGTGGTGAGTACTCTTGTCTTTTCAACCGTCTGGGGGGAGACCAGTTTGGACGCATGGGGTGGGTCTTGCTGGGAGAAAGCGGAGAACGGACGGGTGGACGGATTGGGAGGCGCAGCAGGGAAGGATCCACGTCCACCCACCGACCGGGCCAGCCTGACCGGGCTTTGTCTCTAGCCACGCCCCTGCTTGCTTGGACGCTTGCCTGCTCTGCTAGCGGAGCGGCCGGAAGCCACTTTCGTCGGTTTTCCGCTGAGGATGTTGTGAATGGGCGCATGTGCACACCCATCCAGGATGGATGGATGCCGTGCGTGAGCCTAGAAAGAAGGAACCCAGCACTGTTTTTGTTTTTGTTTTTGTTTCTGTTTCCGGGGTCTACTCTACGTGGACGGCTCGCATTGGCGGCTGGCCCACATGAGAATGTGCGTGGGATTTGCACATGGGATCCTTCCTGTCAGCCTGCCGGCAGCCATGGAATGGAAAAAAATTGCACATGGATGGACCACCGGAATTGCTCTTCCTATGCGCATGGATTTTTTTTATCCGGATCCATAGGCCGGGAGCTTTAATTAATTGTGGCAATTTTGTGAAATACTCCGTCCGTCCAAAAATACGACACTTATTTTGGGACGGAGGAGGAAGTGTGTGTATAATTTTGTGGTTCTTTTTGTGTTCGCCCTGGCTTTTGGTATCGCGGATTACGCGCGGCGAGGCAATTCTACAAACCCAAAACAAGTACTCCCTCCATTTCTAAATATAAGTCTTTTTAGATATTTCAATGAGGACTACATACGAAGCGAAATGAGTGAATCTACACTCTAAAATATGTCTATATACATATGTACTTCTTATTAAGATCTTTAAAAAGACTTATATTTATGAACGAAGAAAGTACATGTGTAACTTTTCGGGTTTGTCCGGGACATATCTAGATGTGTCCTAATTATTGCACATATAAGTCACTCAATCAAGCATAAGAAGAACAAGAAAAGGACAAAAGAAAATATTCACACAAATCTCTGTGTAAGATCAATGATCTAGGACTTAGATGTGAAATACTTATGACACATCTAGATATACTTTAGCAAAACTGATCATTTTCGAACTGTTTCCCTGGCCGACCTGACCTTTCGGTATCTCCATCTCGGAATAGGCATTGTGGGGGCATGTGAATTGAAACCCAAGGCGTAGCCGGGCCGCGTGTCCGTCCGTCCGGCCGTGCGATCGAATATGCCCCTGCATCTAGCCATTCCGTCGCTTTTGTACTTTTTGCAGCAGTATGCACCATGTACGTGCAGTACTTTTGCTTTTGTACCAAAAGGGAGTACCCCAGCAAGCAAAGATGAGCGTCAAAGCAAAGCTTCCCATCTTTTGATTGCGGGGCAAAGTTTCTATTAGGGTACTAATCCGAGGACAACATTCTTTTAGTTTTAGATGACACAAATAATGCTAAAGATAAGCAGTGGTATATTCTAAGAAGGGGACGGCATGTAGGATAAAAGATGAGTGCTAAACCAAAGCTACCCATATTTTGATTGCAGGCAAGGCTATTAGGGTACAAATACGAGGATAACGAGTTCTTTTATAGACACCATAAAGGAAAAAAAAAGAACGCCAAATCGTCGTTTATTCACAACCTTTCTCGCAGTGAATATCTCCTCCGGTTGATGAACAGTAAATTCGATAAAGACAGCAAACAGCACATGAAAGATTTAGCCTTTTTTTACGTGAAGTATCAATAGCTTTGCAGGCACATGATAATTTGTTCATCTTTTATGTAAAAAAAGTTCTAATTTTTTATTGTACTATTCATCCATGAGCAGATGATCTTGTGATCAGCAATAGACTTCCAACTTAGCTATGACATGTTCTAAAGTCGTACTATTTGGTGAGAACTAATGTTCTTGGCCTTTTTTCTTTCTTCCAATAAACTACTGTTCTTAGTCTTTTTATGTACGCACGGGCTATTGGTACGGCCGAGTACTTCAAAGAACCTAACTCTATTTATTCTGAATGCCAACAAGGCGAGTTGCCAAATCCCATTAATCAGAAGGGGTAGTACACGGGAGCGAAGAAACCCAAATCTCAAAGCTTAATCTCTTTGAAAAGGACATGTACAATGTCACGATATCGGCTTTGTTATGAGAAGTGGAGCTCCAATGCTAAGCCTTGAACTGTGTGCATAATCTGAATAGTAGCATCTCGCATGAACAAATATTTGCCCACTATTCGCCGTCAAATTTCTCTTTTCTTTTGTTGTCCCAACCTATATTTTTAAAATCCGAACTTGGATTATTGTGCCACGGTAAGCACATGTTGTGTTTGATCTATAAGTTTTTTTTTTTGGAATACTGATAACAAATTCGTGGCGGTCCATGGCAGCATCCCAACCATGATATCACATCTGTTCCAAAGTTATATTGGATGAGCTAATTAGTGTTTGCTCTTGGTATTTACCCAAGGGATATCACTAGGACCAGATTACTTCAAAAGGAAAAAAAAATGTTTTCTCTCTCTCTCTAAATGCAACGGCGCCAAATTCTATCAATTATAAAGAGATTTGATTTCCAAGAGGAGAGCTGCCGATTTCCGTTAATCACAAGAGACGGTACAAAAGGACTGAAGAAACCTAAATTAGATTCTTGAGAGCTTGGCCAACCCCCACGATAACGACGGACGTGGATCCTCTGACTTTGCAATCCCTGCCATACCCTGCCTTTGAGTCACTGACAGGTGGGCCCCCTGCTCTGTGGGACCCATGTGACAGTGACTCAAAGGTAGGCTAGACCACGGCAGGGGATCCTCGTCCGATAACGACGTGTACAATACCATGATATTAGTTTCTGCTATGAAGGACGGAGTTTTGATGCTATCTCACCCGTCTCTCCTAGTTGCCTTACCATCCAAGGTAAGCGGAGCGCCTAGCAAAAGAACGCCAACTAAAAATTCCAAATGGTTGCACGGAGCAAAATGTACATGCAGGCCCAGAGATTGTACATAGGTTTATATTATCAAAAAATCCAAAGAGATTTGATAAAATACATAACAAAAAATGTATGTAAACAAACAGATTAACAACAAATAAATACTAATAAAATTTCAAATGGACGCGCTAGGACGAGAGTTGAGGGGTGGGGGGGTGCAAAAATCACACGCCGGCCTCCCGGCCAAGAGACTGTCACCATCTCCTATTTTCCCATTGCGTCCATTTGGAAGCAAGGAAGGGAAGGGAAGGAAAGACAGTGGAAAGCTCCCTCCGGCCGGGTGGCATTAAGTCACCACATGTTACAATTAGTGCCGCTTCCAGCTTAGTTAATCCCCTTGGTTTATATCTCTCTCTCTCTCTCCTCCCTCCCTCCCTCGCCTCCTCATCTCCACCTCCACCTCTGCTGGCTCCGCGGCCCATCCGATCCCATCGCCGCGCCGCCAGCCCCAGATCCGCCGCCGCCCGCCGCCCGCCGCCGA